GTTTTTAAGTTTAAAGATAATAGCTAGAAGTTTATCTCCTTCTGACCGGTAAATGGAGCACACTGCTCCCCTCTTTCAATACCACAGTATGCCCCAACGGCGACAGTGGCTTGTTGGAGTTTGTCCTTCAACTGGAAGGTTTTCTGTTCAAGTCCCGGTCTGGTTTTCAGTGTTGTTGTATCCTTGGGCAAGACACTTCACCTGCATTGTCTGTTGCTGGTGGTCAGAGGGCCCGGTGGAGCCAGTGTACAACACCCTTGCTTCTGTCAGCGAGCCCCAAGCAGCTGTGGCTACAATGTAGTTTGCCGCCATCAGTGCATGAATAAGTGAATACTGAATGTATTGAAGAGTGCTATGGTGAAGTCCTTTGACTTGATAAGGCCATTTATGCCTGCCAATTCCCATGTCTGCTAATGCTAATGCTAACCTTTGGTGACATTTAACTGTCCTTCCATCTTCAGCATTTTAAGACCAACTTGTATTCCTAGAATTAAAGCAGGCTGTGCTTTTTTTTGAAGTAAACAAGATGGAGGTAAAGAAAAACATCATGTGATTTATCTTTGTCGTTCTTAGTTTACGAGGATATTCTCTCATCCGGACGGGGAGACTCTTTCTTCATCAGAACCCATTTTGAGTACGAGAAGGAAACTCCGCAGAGCCTCCCGTTCACCAGAGGAGAGATCTTTAAAGTCACCGACACGCTCTACGACGGTAAGCTGGGCCACTGGTTGGCGATCCGAACAGACAAGGACAACCAGCTGCTGGAGAAGGGAATCATCCCAAACAAGAGCGGGTGAGTATATCAGAGGAATGAAACCGTTAGCTGCTTCGCACAGAAAACCTCTGACTGGGTTCTGGTTTTTACGTCACAGAGCAGAACAGATGGCCAACGTTCAGAACGCCGCTCGGGCGGCATCCGGCAGCGACAGAGGAGACTTCTGGAGGCTGAGAGGTCAAAGGGCGGCCAAGAAGAAAGACCTGCGTAAGAGCAGAGAGGACCTGAGCGCCACGCCGGTCACCACCAGGTTCCCCGCCTACGAGAGAGTGGTTCTCCGTGAAGGTACTGGACTAATCTTACCTCAGGTTTGTCCTTTTCTGTCCCCGTCTGTAAATCCTGACGTCGCGGTTCTGTTCTGTTCTGTTAGCTGGTTTCAGGAGACCTGTTGTGATATTCGGGCCCATTTCCGACATAGTGAACGAGAAGCTGGCCGCCGACCTTCCCGACGAGTTCATCATCGCCAGTAAGTCTTCTCAACATTCGGGTCAGTTTGTCTAAATGTTTGAAACCATCTGAAAATAATTTATTGCTGCGATTTCAGAAAAAAAATCCATTTAAATTAAACCCTTAATGGTTCAGGTCTTTATCGAGTCGTTTTTAGCTTTTCTTACTCCAGCAGCAACGACCAGGTTCTGAACTCAAACCTGTTGGTCGCTGCTCCTCAGGGAGATTGAAATTCATCTCAGGTTTTCACCAAAATCCTGAATCCAAAAATCCAACAACTTGTGAATTTGGGCCGTTATAACCAGGATTGGCAGGAATTTGGGAATAAGATATCCTTTAAATGAGGGTATTTAATGAATTAATCACATCCTAATCAAATTTTAATTATACAGAAACCCTTTTTGCAATGAAATCAGTGAATAAATCACCATATGAGCACAACTCAAATATTTTTCTTTTTAATCCAATTTTTAGGTAATAAAATAAAGCCATCAGATTGGTTTAATCATTTACACTGGAAAAATTATCTAGAAATAAGTAAAAATGTCATAAATTAGGTCTATTTACCCTTAATTTGAGTAGGTAAATTAGATCATTTGCCAATGGAATGAGTATTTTTACTCTTAAAATAAGACAATTAGATAATATGCACTTGAAACAAGACAATGCAATTGTGTTTTCTTATTTTAAGTGTAAATTGTCTTGTTCCATTGGCAAAATGTCTCTTTTACCTCCTCAATCCAAGAACAAATGCACTTATTTTAAGAAATTATTTTATAGATTTAGATTTGTTCCAGTGTATCTTTTTTTAATCTGCTGATATTTTAAGCAAATTCTTTGAAAATCTATTTATATAGAAGTGGGAACTGTCTTCTGATGAATTAGGAACAAGTGTAAAATATTGCTTATGTAGAGGTTAGTTTGTTAACATCCGTGCTGCAGCATCATTAGTCGCACTGAGATGGTTTTTAAGCTGGAATATCCCATTGGGTTTAGAGTTATGGGAAATTTCTCCCATCAAAAACAATGAAATTTTATCTCTAAGTTTCAAAATGATGCTCAAAAAGAACGTAGAACTCTGAACGTTTGCTTCCAGTCGGTGAAGATTGGATTCTGGAAAAGTTTAGCCGAAAAAAACAAAGGAAAATCTCTCTCTGTTTTAGAAACGGAGCCCAAAGATGCAGGAAGTGAGAAGTCTTCCGGAGTGGTGAGACTGAACACCATCCGTCAGATCATCGAGCAGGTTGGATTTTTATTCCAGAAATCAGGAACCAAAAGCTCCTAATTCATGACGCTAACCTGCGCCATCTTGTCTGCGCAGGACCTCCACGCGCTGCTGGACGTGACGCCCAAAGCCGTGGACACCTTGAACTACACCCAGTGGTATCCCATCGTCATCTTCCTCAACCCGGACAGCAAACAAGGCGTGAAGACCATGAGGAACCGCCTCATGCCCGGATCCAACCGCAGCGCCCGGAAGCTGTATGAGCAGGCCGTCAGGCTGAGGAAGACCTGCTCCCACCTCTTCACCGGTCAGTCAGGCATCAGCACGCCCTCTGACCCCGCCCCTCTCAGTTCACTCATCCTCTGTCATGTATGTTTTTTTGTCTCCAGCCTCTATCGATCTGAACGCGTCCAATGACGCCTGGTACGGCAGCGTGAAGGACTCGATCCGGGAGCAGCAGAGCAGAGCGGTGTGGGTGTCTGAGGCGAAGGTGAGTCGCTCAGATTCTCCGGAGATCCTGTGGCGTCTAAAGCCCGGCCTACACTGTGATATTTTCAATCGTTGCACGTAGCTAGAGCTCACACTGTGCGACGAAACCGCAAGATTCATAAGTTCACAGCTCATAATGTATGTTCTCACACTGAGCGACCCGACGCTCTGATGCGATCTACCTGCTCACACTGTACGTCTGAAAACAATGTCGTACTCTGCTCCGCGGTAAGATGGCGCTACTCGGACTCGTCTATCCGGAACTATTTCACTAGAGTGAAACGTGCTGGCTTTGAAAATTGTGAAATTTTGTGCTGAAAGCCTTAAGAAGAAAAGGCGACGATGTATTTGGAAAAAAGACATGGCTGAGCAAACATGGCTACTACAGTCTGGCAATTTTACAGAAAGAACTCCATTTCACTCATTGCACCCCCGCCATGCTTCCTCATCTGAGAGGAAGAAGAAGAATCCTTGTTTGCCCACACTGCAAAAACGATCCTAAAATGAGTAAAAATATCCTTAAAATAAGTGTATTTACCCTTAATTTGAGTGGGTAAATGGGACAATCTGCCAATG